AAATCTCTGTTACCACATGAGCCAGGATGGCTGGCAGCAGAGCAGGCAGAACAGACTATGAGGACTGCTAAGCAAAGTGGCTGTTATGTAGCTCTGAAACACCTTACTAGAGAGTTGTCATTGGCCACTCCTCTCTCACAGAGGGAGTCAGGCCCTGAGTGAGTCACAGAAAGAAAGGCTAAGAAGTAGGAAACCTTGAGAATCTGAGCCAGGAAGAGACTGCACCTGCCACTGGGACTGTGACAGAGGTTTAAGGTCATCTGCATAGTGCAAATCCCAGTTGTGCTGTTTGCCACTGGGAGACTTTAGACCAGTTACTGACTCATCTGCTCTCAGGCTCTATTTTCCAGTCTGCAAATCCGAGGTGTACATCTTATTTTATAGAGTGATCCTAAATACACAGGAGGCTGATACATGTAAAAAGGCCTGCTATCTTAAGAACTCTGTACCCGGAGGCTAGAAAGTTAGAAAACTGCTTAGCTAATGAGCTCTATAGCACACCCACATGAGGTAGGTCCTCAGACTGAGCAGGAGGGCCATACGGGACTGGGCAGGAAGATGGATAGGAGGACAGACAGAGAGATTGAAGCTGGGTCTGCCTACCACTGGCTGGGATATTAAGAAATGTATTGGGTGATGAAATGTATCAGTGACCCCACCCTACCAGAAGTCTGTCTCCTCATCTGAGAACTCCAGAAGGTTGGGAAGATTTCTTAAATGACACAGGCCACATGACAGACTGGCTGCCTGTCTAACCTTCCTGGTGTATCTCTGGATTTGTTCAAGCCTAGCTCCCTCCCACTTAAAAGCACTTATCCACAGAGAATTAAATAAAACTCTCCATTGCCTTTACAGGGTCCTTGAGAGCTAAAATCAGAACTTTGTGCAATTGCCTGTCTTGAATTATTTGGAGTTTTTTTTTCCCCCCACATAGTTCTTTGTTGGGGGCACGGTGCAGTGAAGAGGCAAGAGGAGACTGCTGTTGTTTTTCTTGCTTTGTCATCTAGGTCATGCTCTTTTTGGCAATGCTAGCCTGGTTGGGCATAGCCAAGAAGAGTAAAAGTGTCCAATAGAGCCCAAGTTTCCAAGCACGATGAAAGTCAAACAACAGAAATCTCAGTGATGAACATTTAACAGTAACTAAGAAAAGGCCACTTCTCCAGCTATTGACCTCAGCTGCTCTTCTTGTCTCTTGGGATTTGCTTGGACTTTGGAGTTTTTCCCTTTATGGAGCTAACAGAACAGGAGTATGGGAGAGGTATGATAAAAGACTAACATGCTGTCTGCTGCCATCCGCTTATTTCCTTTCTAACAGATTGAAGAGGCTGCAGTGCGTCTGGGTGCAGATATGAAAGTTCATGGATCCTTCCGTTGTGCTCACTTAAGAACAGGGCCCCAAAGTTCTTTCACTATAGTTGCAGGCTCTTGTTGCTCCAGGTCCCAGTGGAAGACTTGGCCTCTGCTCATTGAAGGCATCACCTTTGCTGCCTGTTGCTTCCTCCTGGTCACCATTCCTGTCCTTCCTCTGTTGTAATCTATCACCTCCATGACTCTAAAAACTTCAACAGTGAAATATGTGGGTGAAAATTCAGAGGTGGAGGGTGTGGGGGTGTGGGAGGAGGAAGCGGCCTGGAAAGATGGAGAAAAATGTCTCAGTTCACATTGGGACCCAAGCATTCTCCTGTCTTTTAGGAAGGAAAAAGAAAGTTGGTCTGGTGTTGCCAGGTAGTCTTCTATTCCCTAACAGCCTCATTGCTGCCTCCTAGTGAAAGTTTTAGAATTAGAGAGGAGACCATTTACTGAGGAGGATCTAAGGAGGGAAGGAAAGGAAGTTGAATTTTCATATACCTACAACTTTTTCTACAAGAGTGTGTCTGTTTCTTATTAAATAAGTTTTTGAGTTCAGGTATCACTGTGTTCCTAAGGAAAATACAGGAACTCCCAGATTCCACTGACCAAATTAGCCTCTTCTCTAAGTGCTTACCAAAAGTTGGCAAGACAAGACCCAATCACACCTACTATTCTCTTCAGTTTCTTTGTCCTCTGCCACTCCCTCACGCCAACCATTCCATTTCTTATAGATTAGTATTTTTCATCTTTCAGACAAAACTGTACCATAAATATTTAGGAATATACCACTCTGCCAATAGGAGCATAACAGAGGAGGAAATTAAAAGTGAATTTACATTTTGGTACATATGTATAAAAATAGCTTAATATTTTACTTTGTAAAAGCTCAAACAGATTCAGGCCAGAAGTCTGAAGCCTAATGAGTAACAAAGAAATAAGGCTGCTTCCCTTCAACTCAGTTTTGGGGGGATTTTCTCCTTGGATGTGACGGGCTCAGGTAAGAATATTGCTTCTCCAAAATCCAAAGCTGAAAACCAAATCTCTCCTATTTTGCAGTGTGTGAGACTTTATTTGGTAACTATATGAAGCACACATAGTCATTTTCTTTTCATAACACCTTTGTTTTCTTCAGTTCAACAGTCTTGGGCTCGAATACTTTCAAATTTGGTTCATTCCCTAAACAGGTAATATTGCAAAGTTTAGACTGGAAAAACTACCAAGGAACTTTTATGTATTTGATTTTTATAGTGTATAGTATATATAAGCAAACCTTTCAATCACATACACAAACATTTCAATGAAATTATAATTTATTACAGATTTTAAGACAAGTTTGAAGAGCACAAAATCATTTAACAATATTAGATTAATTTCTTCAATATTTATTTCAATCTTTTTTTTATGTGACGTTCATTTACATGATTAGACTCAACTTTATTCAGAAGGGTTAGTGAAGAACAGTTTTCATACTTTGTGTCCCCACATATATGTTCTTTGTGTGACAGTGCATAATATTTTTGTCTCAAACCTATTATACCAGTTAGTAGGTTAAAAGCTCAGAGATGATAATTTTATATCATATCATCAAGAAACAGTATATTTAATATCCTCATCTATATAATTACACCTGCTTATGTCTTAACATTGTACCACCCAGAGTCTGTGAATGACAAAGTGTCTTTACAGAGCCTGTTTAAGGACTGCGGTTCTGGAGAAATCAGTTCAATTGTTTTAGCAACAGAAGGGCAAAACCACTATAATATAAGCATCTACAAACATGACAGTTTAAGAAAAACAGAAACTCGCTTGCATACCACTGCTGTCTAACATGTCTTCTTTCACAACCAACATTTTAAAAAGCAATCGCTATTCTGCAATTTAAGAGAAAAAAACCAACAAACAAAAACTTCAAAACTAACTTTTAAATAAATAGGATGGCATAAAACAATTACTGTCAATGTCATAACTGCAATCAATGCTTTGTGGTCTTGGGTAAGTGTAAAGACTGAGCATAAACTGCAAGAACACACACAAAGCTAACCGTAATAGAAGTTTCTTACTTGCACGTACCACATGGCCAGGTCAAATTCAAACTGCCAAAGGAAGAAGGCAAGCTACCTTGAGGATAAAAAATAAATCCCAGACAGATCAAGACGTGAAAAAAAAAATGCAAACAAAAATATACTGTTTGATTTCTTTTTTTTAAAAGAGCTTCAAGTATTTTTTTAAAAAAATTGCCATAATAACCAAGCAAGAAAATTGCGCTCAACAGCATGAAAGTAGTCTAGTATGGAGCATGTTTTTCCTTTGTTTATAGATAAATTGCTTATACTTCTGATTTTGGGCACCTCTCAATCGGTGCCGTAAAGTGAAATATTGAAAATCTTAAAGAGATCAACATAGAGATGGCTCTGACGACCAGGATTAAAGGAAAGCAAAAAAAGAGATAAAACAGGACAGAACTGCTGAAGAACTCGGTATTCAGTCAAGGATACATACTCAGCCTAGGCTCTCTCCATTTCCTAAGGCTGGCCAAAATCGCCCTGTAGGTCCTAAGCTATTTTTCACTCCACTACCTCTGAGTGAGCCCATCACCAGGCAAGAAAATGCGGGAAGCGTTTGCTGAAGTAACATCTGGCCCTCCAAGGAAAAATGAGCACTTTCTTGCCATTGGGAAGTCTCAAACATTTTCAGAGATGTGCCCGCCCTCTCCCCAGGCTTAACCCTCTTGCGCGGTAGTTCCCGAAACTCTCCGCTCCCCGGGTCTATCACCTTTCTCCTCCGGGAAGAGGCAGCGGGAGCCGCAACTAAGGCAAGCAGCGTAGGGCCGAACCCGGGCGGCCGGTGACACCAAGAGGTTGCCAAACGCCCAACAGTGCGCAGACTCCGCGGCGCGCGGCGGACTCTCCACTCGCCTAAACCTGCTCTCAAAGAGAAAAGGAGTGGGAGGAGGAGTATTGGGAGGGGGCGAAGGGCGTGGGGGGGGCGATCCTGTTAATATCAGGTCCGGGAGGAGGGAGCGGGAGGAGGCTCCGCTGGTCCCTCCTCCCTCCTGGAGTCCCGGGCTCCTCCTCCTCCCGAGGCCCCAAGATATACACACTCTAAGTCGCTCTGGACATGCACACCCAGCGCCGGCTCCGACCGCGTACATACGCAGGTGGCGACACTCACCTGAGCCGGTGCGGAGGACTCCCGCCGCCTACCTAGCGCCTGAGCGGTGGCTTGGGCCCGAAAGGGGCCCCCGGCGCTACGACAGTGAGGAGAACCGGAGCGGCCTCAGCGCAGACCTGCGATCCGAGGTGATGGCGCGTTTTCTTTAATCCCCCCTCCTCCAGCACCTGGCGCCCGACGCCCATCAGCTCACGGCGCCGGGAGAACCCCGGAGAGAAAAATCTCCCGAGCGCGGCGCACACCGGGGCACAGCTTCCCAGCTCGCTGGCCGAGAGGGGCGCGGCTGAGCCCGCGCGAAAACTTGCGAGAAGTTAGTTGCAATTGTCGGGCGGCGGCGACAGGAGCCTGGAGGAGACGCGATCCGAGGCCAGGCCCACCGCGCAGCACCGTCCGGGAGTCCGGTCTGCCGGTGCGCCTGGAGAGGCTGGGAGCGAAGGGAGCCAGCATGGCCCCGGGGACCTCAGGACCCGGTGACTCGGAGAGCCGGGAGAGTCTCCTCTGAGACCCGGCGACAGGCTAGCGCAAAGCCTCATCCAACCTCCTTCCTCATCCCTTCTGCGCGAAGGCCGAAGAGGAAGGCTCGAGAGGCAGGTGTTGGGGGGGAACATTGCCCCCCCATCTCCTGAACCTTTGGGGATTCCATCAGTGCACCCTGATCCCAATCCAGAAGACCGGACGGTGCTGGACTTGTGTTTCCATCCATCACGGTGCTCTGCTGGCCCTTGGAACGCCCGGACCCTCCTCCGCTTCCCCCTCCTCTTCCTCCTCCAGGGCCACCCCCTCCCCCACTCCCATCTGCTTGGGCTGTCAAACGAGAAAGTCACCGAGGAGAACCCAAACACTCCAGCCACCGAGAGTCCCCTTTGGCACTTGGCAGCGCGCAGCGGCCGGCTACTCTTCTCAACTTGCTGGATCCTCCGCCGCGCAACTTTCCCCGCTGCTTGGCTTTTAAAGCACAGCAGACCGAGAAGGGGGAGAGCGGTGCCCGGTAGTGGCCACCTGCCGGGAGTTGGCGAGCAAACGCCACCGGACAGAAGGACAAAAAGAAAGCAGAGGGCAAAGCGCCACCGCGGACTGGGGACGCCGCAGAGAAGTTCGGGGGTCTCAAGATTTTCTCGAGCTCTCGGCCGGGGAGACCAAGGCGGCCAGGGGCGCAGCGCCGCGATCCTGGGCTGGTCCTGCGGTCCCCTCTTCCCGCGCGGGAGCGACTCCGGGACGCTCGCCCGCCGGCCGAGCGGGTCCCCGCGGGCAGCCAACATTGATTTCCTCCGGGCCGAGGGCGAAGGCCCGGGAGGCGGCGGCGGGTTGCAGCCGCGGCACGGCGACAGCATGTCGAAGCCGGTGGACCACGTCAAGCGGCCCATGAACGCCTTCATGGTGTGGTCGCGGGCGCAGCGGCGCAAGATGGCCCAAGAGAACCCCAAGATGCACAACTCGGAGATCAGCAAGCGCCTGGGCGCCGAATGGAAGCTGCTCACCGAGTCGGAGAAGAGGCCGTTCATCGACGAGGCCAAGCGCCTGCGGGCCATGCACATGAAGGAGCATCCCGACTATAAGTACCGGCCGCGGCGCAAGCCCAAGACGCTGCTCAAGAAGGACAAGTTCGCCTTCCCGGTGCCCTACGGCCTGGGCGGCGTGGCGGACCCCGAGCACCCGGCGCTCAAGGCGGGAGCTGGGCTGCACGCGGGCGCGGGAGGCGGCCTGGTACCCGAGTCGCTGCTCGCGAATCCGGAGAAGGCGGCGGCCGCGGCCGCTGCGGCCGCCGCGCGCGTCTTCTTTCCGCAGTCGGCCGCCGCCGCCGCCGCCGCCGCTGCCGCCGCCGCTGCGGGCAGCCCCTACTCTCTTCTTGACCTGGGCTCCAAGATGGCAGAGATCTCGTCGTCGTCGTCCGGCCTGCCGTACGCGTCGTCGCTGGGCTACCCCACGGCCGGCGCTGGCGCCTTTCACGGCGCGGCGGCGGCGGCTGCAGCAGCGGCGGCAGCCGCCGGGGGGCACACGCACTCGCACCCCAGCCCGGGCAACCCGGGCTATATGATCCCGTGCAACTGCAGCGCCTGGCCCAGCCCGGGGCTGCAGCCGCCGCTCGCCTACATCCTGCTGCCCGGCATGGGCAAGCCTCAGCTGGACCCCTATCCTGCGGCCTACGCCGCAGCGCTATGACCCCGCGGGGCCCACTCGCGAGGACTTGTGTGCACACGTGTATATATGTATAGATACGAGTCCCGCGGCCTCCCCGTGCGCCCTCCCGCGACTCGGGGGTCGGGTTTGTTTGTACATAGATGTATATAGGTGTCAGGCAGAGGCGAAGATGCCAGTCCGGGCTCGAGTGGCCGAGCGCGCCAGCTGCAGCCAACTTTAAAGAGGGCTGTTGTAAATGTGCCAGCATTTGATGTTCGCTTTGCACTTCGGAACCTGTTGCGTTTTGATCCATAGAGGCGGTGGAGTCGCTTTTTGACGGGCTTTCCAGTTTTTTGTTTTGGGGGTTTTTTTTTGTTGTTGTTGTTGTTGGATTTTGCTTTTGCTTCTCATTTGACTTTTCCCTGCCCTCTCCGGTCTGTGTTGCATGCACTCTGTTCAAATGTTAGGTCTGAAGTAGCTGGCACAAGGGAAAAGCTGTGTCATCAATTTCTTGGAGTGGGATGGCCCTGAGTAGCCTTGCTCCTTATTTGTACTGTTTGAACTCCGCAGATCTCCGTTCTATCGAGCAGGACCCCCACACCGGATCCTTTCTTGACCACTGACCAGCTCGAATCTGGCCTTTTGTATGTGAGACGATCTGTTTCTTTTGTTTATCATGCCGTATGCAAATCAAAGCAAGAGCCTCCCCCTCCCCACCCCCCGCCCAGAGCAAGAAATGCAAAGAAATAAGTGTGAGTAGGAAGTTGTCAGTAGGATATTCTACCCCTGAAAAAGGTTCTAGAACTCTCCCCAGAGTCTACTGGCTTGGATTTGTGACGCAGTTTACAAAAGTGTGGGGAAGAAACACTTGCTGTTTTTCCCTTTTGGCTGAGTTCACCTTAAGACTGTAAATGTGTAAATGTCATTGAGTCTTGGAAAATGTGTTATTTTCGTTGCCCTAAATTTGAGTCGATTTTAGACTCAAAAAATGTTGAGCAAATGTCAAAGTTAACGTTTAAAAATTGCGGAAATATTTCAGAGTCGCAATTTTATCTAAGATTAAAATCAGACTTTTTGTCTGAGTCATAATTATATATTTATTACTTAGCAAAAGTGAAAAAAATTAAAAGCACAGAATTGTTTTGACAGATGCCTCTTATTTTCAACTAGAATTTCTCTCCCAAGTTAAACCATTTTAAAGTGTTTTGGAGTTCCCATCCGGATTAGCTTCTTTTATAGATCGCCTGCAATTCACTTGCAAATTACCATAAAACACGGTTTAGGGGGAAAAACCTTCCTCAATTATAGCTTTTTTCTTTCTTTTTTAATGTATATATTTTGACTAATGGTTGTGAAGTTGGCTAACCTGTATTTAGTTTCATTTTGGCTTTATGTAATATAAAGTTTTTAAAAGTTTAAATATTGGTTTTAACTCTAATGTGTAAATGATTTTCTTGTGCGATCTTCTAATTTAATATTAGATGCGTCTAAGATATCTGTAAATTAGAACCCTACTATCACTCTGTTCATTTTTTTTGAACAAAGAGTTTAAATAAAGCCTGAACCAGGGAAAAGAGAAAACCCTCTATTTCTTGTTGAGTTCCTAACAAGATTTTTATCTGAATTGCCCTCACGGTGCCTGGCCCAGGTGAAGTGTAAGGTATCCTCCAAAGGCCGTCTTTGTTTCACTTTTGAATAGATTTACTAGGAAATCTAAATCAAGCCATTGTTATTCAGAGCCAAAAACCTGATTTATCACATTTTTAATCGTGAATAGGAAAGAAGATAAAAAAAAAAAAAACCAAGTAGTTGCATTATCTTTAGAAAAAAATAAAAGGCATTCATGAACCACTAGAAGAGGGCTCATTGAAAATATCTAGACTGTTCAAAGCACTCCACCAGTTTCCAGTAACATTTTAAGAGGGAAAAGTTGCCTGACCACTTTATCTTGTTTGCAGAAGAGCCTCACCACTTAAATCAGTGTAATTTGTTCACATATCTTTAGGGTATTCCTTATTTGCACCTTAAGGATTTATTTAGAAGGGTAATCACTGCCAAGAGAAATGTACAACTTTTGGCCTCCTTGGGGCTTTATTCTGTCATGTTAATAGCACTACAACAGAAGTACAGCATAGCAGGTTCTAATGAAAGGGTTGAATTTCCAGAACTGGGCAAGTCTCCACTGGAGAAAAGTTTTTAAGTTCATAAAGCATTTTAGTTTTAGAAAGGAAATGGTAGGGCACCAGCAGAATATCAGGAAGGAAAAAAATAAAAAAAGACTTGAGGAAGTGTGGTGTTTCCCGCCCCTCCCCCCCCTCCAAGCTCCAGAGGTGGGAATTCTCAAGATTCTATGTACAAGTTTTGAACTTGTTTCCCGATTGACAGAAGCCATCCCCGGAGCTGCACGTCTTTATGAGCAACCCAAGTCTTTAAAGTCATTGTTTTCTCCCAACGGAATAATATTTTAAAAACCATGAAAAGTTTTGGAAATGTGAGAAATAGGCTCTACTGGTTTGACCCTGATTCACTAATTAAAACGATCCCTCTCCTGTTATTCCCCAGGCTCTTTGCAATATTATAAGTTAATTCATATGGTTCTGAGCGATTATGCAAAACTAATTTGGACTGTCCAGGGGTAATTATCCCTGACACGGTTAATTAAATCCTTTCAGAGCTTCGTCTTTCCCTTTTGTAGTAGCCCATCACTTCTCAACACGGAACTTCCTGCGGCTCGCTGGAAATCACCCCAGCCCTAAATCTCAGTAACCTCCACCGCCTTCCAGCCCGGCCTCTCCCGCCTAAAGATTCCCCGCCCCCTCGAGTCCCCTCCCCCCTTTCCCAAAGACCAGCATTTTCTGGGAGAAACTCTCTGAACTTAGAAGATAGAGAAGACTAGAAAGAAGGGTAATGGGAAGGGAGAGGTCCTAGGGAATGGGGGAGCACTTGGGACACATTGCCAACGGATTGACCGGCTGTTAGAACTCTGGACCCCCCCCCCCTCCACGACTTGGTTTATCACCCACTCTGGCTCCAGGGTTCTTATTAACAAGTTGGCGGGTTCCACACCTAGAGAGAGAACCTCGGCTCCAAGTTAGACTGTGTAGAAATCTGGGGTGGGAGTGGAGGTGGGGATGGGGTGGAAGGAGCAGCGCCCAGACTAGAGCGCTTAGGGAATGGGCCTGGGTGGATGGGTGCCAAAATCCGAAAGAAAATGACCCAATACAGCGCTGGGACTGGGTAAAGAGTGTCTCTGACACTGTGTCTATCTGCTCTTTCTCTGTCTCTGTCTCTCTTATCTCTCATTTCCATCTTCATCAATATTTTCATGCATTGTCTTTCCTTGCCCTTACACCCTCTTATTCTTCCCTCCCTCCCTCCTCTCTGTCTCTGTCTCGCTCTCTTTTTCTGTTTCCCGCTTTTGCCCTTCCATTTTTCAGTTTAAGATTTTTTTAAAGCTTGAGGACATTTCTTTGGTAGTCAGGATCGCTTAAAAACCTTAAACAAACCTCATCTCAGAAGGACCAGGAAAGTTGCTTCTGGCTTTGCGCTAACAGGTGGGATTGTGTTTAAACTATAAGGGCTGATGCTGGGGGACTCTGCCGCCAGGGGGTGGCTTCAGGGGAGCCGAGGACAATCCCCACCCCTTCCCTCCAGGGGCCAAACAGTGCGGATCTCTCTCTTTTGCCCAGGCGCAATAGGAGCGGAGGACTCATCCCAGGACCCGCGGAGACCCGCGCGCCAGCCAATCAGAGCGTGGCTAGCGCTGCGCTGGCTGCCGGGTCCTCCCAGCGAGCCGAGTCCCCGCATAGCGCCCGCCCGAAGTGGCTGCGTCTTTCTCGCGCCCACATCCAAAGGAGGCAGAGAGAGCCATCCTAACTTTATTAATCTCTCCCCTGTTCTTTCTCCCTCAGCCCAGTGCATCTCAAAGGTCAGCTCTTTTCTTTTAAAAGACTGATATTATTAATTCACTGACAATCTTTCCCCCTTTTTCTTTTTTCTCTCTTGCAGGGGAAAAAAAGAGGGGAAATAGTGAAAAGAGCTTTTTTTATCCTCTTTTTTTTTGTCCTTCAGTGGGAGCGTTTAGACAGTCGAGGAGGTTTTGTCAAGGAACAAAGCGCAGGGTTGGGAGGTTTTGTGAGAGTGTTGTTTGTTGAAGTGGAGCTAAGAAAAAGCGGCGGCTTTCTCCTCATTGTGAAGAAACCAATCACTGGTATTTGGAAAACTGTTAGCATTGTGCACTTCTGCTGTGTCCATTGTGAGGCGTTTCTTTTCACAAGGTTTTTTTTTCAGCCGATCCAGCTGGCCGGAATGAATAGCGGTGCAATGTGTACACGCTTTGTCCCTCCGGCCTTCAAGTAGCCCCCGTTGAATAGACTAAGTTGACACTGCGTGACAGTGAAACAACATAATAAAAAATACATGAGCCCCTGAATAGGAGCAGGCGCATAAATAAATAAAGTGGGTGACCAAAACTGGATAAACTGAATGACAAAACGGTGAAAGGGGAACAAAAAGATATTTAACACGCTAGATTAGCATTAGAATGCAATCTACAAGGCAGAACAATTGATGAATAGGTTTACCGGCCAAGAAAGAAATGGACTAAATGCCCTTTGAATGGATATGCTTTTTGCAAGGGCTTTGAATAGATATGCTTTTTGCAAGGGCTGAATGGGAAAAGGTAAAGATGAAGCTATGTAAATGAGTGGGGGAACTTTTATATATATTCTTTAAACATACACACACACACACACACACACACTGCAAGGGTAGAGTGCTGCCTCAGAGTGTTTATAGAAGCAATAATTGCCATTATTAGCATTGTCTGCAGCAGATAGAAATTGAACAGGTTGGGATAATGTAGGGTAGCAGTAATTATTCCTCTAATTAATGGTTCTTTGCTAGTTGAAGAAAGAAAAAAGGAAAGGAGAAATAAAAGTTATGTTTCCTTGTGTCCATTTGCCGAGCACTGGAATCTATGTGGCAGTGAAGCCTGGCAATGCTGAGATGCATTCTCATCTTTAAACATTCCAGAGAACCAATTCTGGGGCTCAAGGATAGTGCATCATTTCACTAATGCTGTATTTGAGAGTCTCATATAGTGTCCGGCACTTGATAGGTGAGCTCAATGAATAGTTGTGGAATGAATGAATGAATGAATGAATGGATGAATGAATACAAACTTACTGGGGGAAACCCAGCCTCCTCATGGAAGTGGGAGGAGGCTAAGGAGCTACCCCAGGACAATTTCATCTTTTAGAGTTGTACCCTTTATCTAGAAGGGGAGAGTCCACCTTGCTAAAAACCTTGCCCCCAGCCTAGTTGAGCCATTGAAAAAAATTCCAAATGTTAAAAAGGGGGAGAAAAAGAAAGAAAACACAAGAGCCATTACGAGTAACTGCAGCCTCCCCCTTTCCTTCCTTGCCTTGTCTGCCAAAGTCAAAGTCAAGATGGAAAGGTTGTGAGAGGTACTCACCTTTAGGTAAGCAAATAATACCCACTCCTGTAAAGACTATGTAAAAAAAATTAACTTTGTCTCTTTCAGTTTCTTTCTTTTGCCCCCTTTGGGCTTCTAGTAAGTTCTTGTTTGAAACCCCCTCACCTCCCAAGGGACAGGGCTTCCCCTGGTTGCATCACCAGCCGGAGGCTGCAGGAACCTGCAGAGGTGTGGGCACCCTTGGGTTTCTTACCCTGCTCCGGAAGTGTCCATACCCGCCTTTGCCTCCACAGTATAAAATGTTTTATTTCTGATGGTTCACCACCAGATCTGGGGACCAGTGGACTAGCTGTCTAATTTTGCAGTAGCGCTGCCCATACTGTCCTTGACCTAAATGGAATAATGCAGATTATACAGTGCCCACTGACAGGTCCCGACAAAGACAGAGTCTCAGGGCTTCTCAACTGGATGGCAACTCCCCACCTCCCTGACAGCTGGCCTGAATGAAACTTCACACTTGGCACAAATATGAGTACCCCAAATAACCAAAGTAG